ATTGTAAACACTATCTTACTTGTTTTATTATTAGGTTTGTGTCTACACTGCATAGCATATTTTTGTATTGTTTCGGATGTGTGTTATCGATAACGAAACAAATGTTTGGCTGCACTATACATAGTTGCCAAAATTCCTTGATTTATAAAAAAAACTCTCAAACTACAATTTTAGTATATTTATGTCTTGAGAGTATCGCGAAAACTCCAAGTTCTTAAATTCTATTATGGTCTTTAACCTAATTTTTATAAGTGAGATATCAAGGAAATAAAAATCTACATACAATCATACTACTCTCGCTCTCTCTCTCTCTCTCTCTCTCTTGCCCATTTGACCAAATTCGGCACGAGCAGATCTTCTGTCTGCATACTATCTAAACAATTGTGTTATAAAATTATTAAAACACTTGTATTATTTTTATAAAATAAATAGTATCACAGTAAATAGTATTAGTTTAGTGTTCAGAAAATTTTAAACAAAATAAACAACGAAACGAAAGATTCTTATCAATGGTGGAAAAAAACATTTGTTCACAAAAAGCTTCTCATACTGATAAACTATAAAATAAGTGGAGAGAACTTATTAAATTAATTCCAACTAGAAATTAAAATTAGTTTATAAAACGCTTTCTAACGGAACACACTTAAACAAAATGTCGGCAGATGATATTGTTATACGCGTAGTACAACCCCACGAATACGAACAAGTGGTACAATTCATTATCGATCATTTCTATCGCGATGAGCCCTTGTGTAGTTCTGAACCCAAGGTAGTGCCCGGTGAAACCGATCGTACCGACATCATGGAATGCCTTAAAGGTGGCACCAGTATTTTGGCTATGCAAGTCAAGGAAAATGGTGAAGAAGTGTTAGTGGGCGTTAATGTTGGTGTACCCAAGGATCCTTCTTCGGTAGACAAATACTTCAAAAGCGCTGAAAAAGAAGGCAATACCAAATACGGTCAAATTTTGAAATTATTGGGTGTTGCCAATCGTCAGGCTGATATCTTCAATCGTTATGGTGTCGATAAACTTTTCTATTCCTTTATGTCCTGTGTAACACCCACCTGCCGCGGTAGGAATCTGGGCACACGCCTCAAGGAAGAACTTATGGCTTTGGCTAAAAAATTGGGTTACAAATTAGTTACTGTTGACTGTTCCAGTTTCTATTCGGCCAGATTATGCAAACGTATGGGTTGGGATGTTGCCAACTTTGTTGCTTACTCAGACTATAAGGATGAAAATGGTCAAGTAGTTTTCCCCAATATTCCACCACCCTCACGAGGGTTTGACCACCTTGGCGGTGCGTTTGTAAATATTATTGTAGATTAGTACTTAAATTGTTTGTTAAATATTTTTTATAATTAAATTGATATGTTTGCCTATTTTATAGAAAGCTGTTTTTAATATACTCGTATTAATAAAATTGTTATATTTTAAATTGTGTTTATTTTTATTTATTTTAAAATAAAGTTTTTATAGACTCAAAATTTCCACGTATTCCGTTAAGAAATATATAGTCATTTAATACAATATGTCTTATCATGTTATCTCCAAGAGTCTATGATAAGTCTAAAAAGAGGCAAATAACCGTTATCTCTATTTATACATAAGTTCACGTTTTGCTATAAATTTATTATATTCAATTAACCCTATAAAGACTTGGACCCCAAAGCAAGATTATTTAAAAATATTCAAATATGAATGTATTCAATATCAAATGCGAACTAAATCTGCTGTCAACAATATTGATCCATTTAATCTGAAGTTCTGACATCAATGAAATTTGGTCGTTTCATATCTGTCAGTATTATCCGCGTAGGTTAGTCTTCTGGGCTATGAGTACGGCCATCGTGAGTTCGATTCCCACCAAAAATATTAGCAAAGAAGCGCATTACAAAATGGCAGTGATCTAACTACCTAACTAACTAACTAACTACTAACTACTAACTACAGAACGAACGAACGAACGAACGACGAACGAACAGAACTAACGAACGAAGAACGAACGAACGAAAGAACGAAACGACGAACAACGAACGAAACGAACGAACGAACGAACGAAAACGAACGAAACGAAACGAACGAACGAACGAAACGAACGAACGAACGAACAACGAACGAACGAACGAACGAAACGAACGAACGAACGAAACGAACGAACGAACGAACGAACGAACAACGAACGAACGAACGAACGAACGAACGAACGAACGAACGAACGAACGAACGAACGAACGAACGAACAACGAACGAACGAACGAACGAACTAACGAACGAACGAACGAACGAACGAACGAACGAACGAACGAACGAACGAACGAACGAACGAACGAACGAAACGAACGAACGAACGAACGAACGAACGAACGAACGAACGAACGAACGAACGAACGAACGAACGAACGAACGAACGAAAGAACGAACGAACGAACGAACGAACGAACGAACGACGAACGAACGAACGAACGAACGAACGAACGAACGAACGAACGAACGAACGAACGAACGAACGAACGAACGAACGAACGAAGAACGAACGAACGAACGAACGAACGAACGAACGAACGAACGAACGAACGAAACGAACGAACGAACGAAAGAACGAACGAACGAACGAACGAACGAACAACGAACGAACGAACGAACGAACGAAACGAACGAACGAACGAACGAACGAACGGAACGAACGAACGAACGAACGAAGAACGAACGAACGAACGAACGAACGAACGAACGAACGAACGAACGAACGAACGAACGAAACGAAGAACGAACGAACGAACGAACGAACGAACGAACGAACGAACGAACGAACGAACGAACGAACGAACGAACGAACGAACGAAACGAACGAACGAACGAACGAACGAACGAACGAAAACGAACGAACGAACGAACGAACGAACGAACGAACGAACGAACTAAACGAACGAACGAACACGAACGAACGAACGAACGAACGAACGAACGAACGAAACGAACGAACGAAGAACGAACGAACGAAACGAACGAACGAACGAACGAACGAACGAACGAACGAACGAAGAACGAACGAACGAACGAACGAACGAACGAACGAACGAACGAACGAAACGAACGAACGAAAAACGAACGAACGAACGAACGAAAACGAAGAACGAACGAACGAACGAACGAAAGAACGAACGAACGAACGAACGAACGAACGAACGAACGAACGAACGAAACGAACGAACGAACGAACGAACGAACGAACGAACGAACGAACGAACGAACGAACGAACGAACGAACGAAACGAACGAACGAACGAACGAAACGAACGAACGAACGAACGAAGAACGAACGAAAACAACGAACGAACGAACGAACAAAACGAACGAACGAACTAACGAACGAACGAATAACGAAACAACGAACGAACGAACGAACGACGAACAACTAACGACGAACGAAACGAACGAACGAACGAACGAACGAACGAACGAACGAACGAAAACTAACGAACGAACGAACAAGAACGAACGAACGAACGAACGAACGAACGAAAAAGAACGAACGAACGAACGAACGAAGAACGAACGAACGAACGACGAACGAACGAACGAACGAACGAACGAACGAACTAACGAACGAACGAACGAACGAAACGAACGAACGAACGAACGAAGAACGAACGAACGAAAGAACGAACGAACGAACGAACGAACGAAACGAACGAACGAACGAACGAACGAACGAAGAACGAACGAACGAACTAACGAACGAACGAACGAAACGAACGAACTAACTAACGAACTAACGACTAACTAACTACGAATAACTAACGAACTAACTAACTAACTAACTAACTAACAACACTAACGAACTAACTAACGAACTAACGAACGAACTAACAACTAACTAAAACTAACTAACTAACTAACTAACTAACTAACTAACTAACTAACTAACTAACTAACTAACTAACTAACTAACTAACTAACTAACTAACTAACTAACTAACTAACTAACTAACTAACTAACTAACGAAGAAGACGACAAACAAACGCCCTTCTACAGACAAAAGTCTCTGGTTGAAATCGGACTTACGATCCCAGACTCCAAAAAACTTGCATACAACCATACAGGTGCTCCTGGGATTCCGATCCCCTGTTATGCAAAACTCATAAAACATCTCTTCCTGATTGAAAAATATGGATCGCTAGTTTTTAAAACTATATTTCCATCTATTACTCTAATCAATGGGCTAAAACTAAACCTATTTTCAGAACAATTCAAATAATTTGTCTAATTTTAGTACAAAATCTTTTACGTTCATCTTATCAATGTCACATAAATTAGGGGATTCCATGAGTTGACAATTTTTTACATACATGTAGGTCTTAAATAACGTTATCAGTAAAAAATGACGCAATTATGTGCTAAATTGTCTGAATATTTATAATTTGTCATGATTTTAATCGCAGACTCATTCTGAGCAAACTAAATTACATTTGATAAGCCGGAACTGTGTTTCGACACTAATCCCAAGAGGAATCTTAAGAGTGAAGACTGTTTTCGTTTAAACGGATATAAAAATAACAAAATTAGTTTTTTTCTGGGGCATTGAAAATCCAAATGTCATTCAAATAAAGCATATTTTAACAGTACGACTTTTACTGACGTACTGATCATTTAATATTTTTTTATAATGCTGTTGCAAACGCTAAGTAAAACTGAAAATACCACCCGTTAAATATTAATTACTTGGGTAATCAAAATACTTATAAAACTTATATCAATATACTTTTAGGGGTTGGTCCCAATGCACCATTAACGCTTATTTCAATTACTTATTTATAGATGCCTGGTTTTTATTTGCTATTTTCTAACACTTACTCATAATTTGTACTATATATCTTTAAAACTAACCAACAATTTAGACTACTATAAGTGTTCTTTCTTATCGCGTTGTGGAAAAAAACAATAAAACAAATCTTAAACTGATAAATTTTTTTAGAAAAATTAATATTAATAATGCTTACCCAGTTCACTAGAACTATTTATATAAATTAGTTTTTTGCCAACCGCACATCGCAAAAGTACAAGACCAAAATGTGGAACGATGATATTAAATTTCGCGTTGTACAACCCCACGAATACGAACAAGTTGTAAACTTTATTATTGAGCACTTCTATCGTGATGAACCCTTAAGTTGTTTGGAACCCAAGGTAATACCCAGTGAAACCGATCGTGCCGATATATTGGCCTGTCTAAAAGGTGGCACCAGTATTTTGGGTGTACAAGTCAAGGAAAATGGCGAAGAAGAATTGGTAGCTGTTAATACTGCTGTGCCTAAGGATCCCTCCTCCATAGACAAGTACTTTGAATCGGCCGAAAAGGAAGGCAATACTAAATATGGACAAATTTTGAAATTATTGGGTGTTGCCAGTCGTGAGGCTGATGTCTTCAAACGCTATAATGTCGATAAGTTGCTGTACTCTTTCATGACCTGTGTTAAACCCGATGTACGTGGTAAGAATTTGGGTGTACGCATTAAGTTGGAACTTATGGAATTGGGTCGTCGTTTGGGCTATAAATTGTTGACAGCCGATTGCACTAGCTATTATTCGGCTCGTGTATGTGAACGTTTGGATTGGGATCGTGTGAATTTTGTCGCCTACAAGGATTATGTTGATGAAAATAATAAACCCATCTTTAGTCCTCCTCCACCACATGTTGGTTTGACTTCATTTGCTACTCGTCTGTAAAATATGGTTATTTTCTTAATTTGTAATTTATATAATGTTAGTAATTTATTTTATATTTTAATAAAATTGTTGTTTTCTGTTAGTGATTAAATTAATTTTAAAATTTTTTGGAATTTTAAATTCCCTTCATAATCATTTTACTTTAGAATTTATCTAAGAACTATTGGAAACATCGTAGTTTTCAAAATAAATTATTGGAAATTAAAGTTCTCAACATCCAAACTTTGAAGATGATAATTCTGATGATGATCAGTTTAGCATTATGGCTGCCAAGTAAGAATTTCCAAAATGCACTCTTTCGCCAAATTACTGACTCATAATTTTATGTTGATAGTGACTTCAAGAGCTCCAAAGGATCCTTTTCCTTCGAAAGCACAGGAAGATTTTACTTCTTAGCCAGTAGAGGCTTGGTGTCGTCCCAGAGAGGAGGAATACTTTCCACCAAGTTCTTCAGAATGCAAGCGCATTCAGATTCAGGCTCATGAACCTCAAAGCCCTGCTGATCTCGGTGTTCACTCTGTCCATTAGTTGCTTCCCATTATCTTATTGTTAATCAGATCTTCTACTTTTCTGTGCTACTTTAGTGCGAATTTTCCTTTCGGATACAGAATATTAGATATCGTCTCGGTGTCTTCTCTCAGGAAGTTTGGATTTTTTTCAGACATCCTTTACTACATGAGTATGAGACTTCTTTGAGTGAAGTATTACTCGATTTTCACGGGGAGCTCCTTTTCTTCTACGGTTTGCTTTCAGTGTTCAGTTCCTAAAAGAAATCTGATATTTTTTGCTTCAGATATTGAAGTTACTCCAATATATCTTTCAGTGTGTCTCGAGATTGACTCCATTTGATTTTTTGGAACATTTAATTCCTTATTGGGATTTGGTATGAAGATGTTGTTCTAATCATCTAATGGTTTCAGAATCAGAATCTTTCCCTGTATATAAGGACTGAGATCCCTGCGAGTTCATAGGCAAAAGATTGGCAACTTCCTAAAAACCAAAATTTTCATCGAATCAAAGTTATCAGTAGCACGAATGAATGCTTTTATATCCATTTCGTATAGATTGATAGGTCGTCCCTAGGGTCTCGAATGTACATTCTGGCAGGGCCAGTCGAAGATGAAGAATGTGTAGAAGATTTTCGTGTTCGTTGTGACAAATTCTCCAGAAGTCGGTAAAACTTCCTGGAGTGAAGCTCTAATGGACTGTGTCCAGTAGTTACATTAATTAGGTTTCACAACGGAGATCATGAGTAAATGGTTTATAATCTCATCTCAGTGAAACATGCATTCCCCACGTATTCTTAAAAAAAGCATATCAGTCTCCGCCATAAAGGAAAATATCAAAGATAGACTAGGAATATACGCAAATTTCCTATAGATATCCTTGTCCACATGATTTTTCCAGTGGAATTACTTCATTTCTTTATCACTTTAAAGAATTAATTCATTCAAGTTACTGTTTTTAATTTAACTTCCAAGTGATATTGTACTTTTTCAAAACCCACAATCATAGATCTCAAATACCGTTAATGAAATATATAGATATACATATATATTGGTAGAACTTGTTAAAGGCTTTATATTCTTTCTATATGATCGGTATTTCGTAATTTCCTTGATAATTAAGCTTTGTGTCCATGATAGGTATTGATAAAATCTCTAGTACCTAGAAAACTTGTGATTTGATTAAAGTAGAACATAATACGTAATATTTCTTATATATTCAATAAACAACTTTGAACACTTTGGAAGTTTTTAGAATATAATAAAAGGCATTCCCTTAGTGTGTGTCATAATAATTGTTATGGATCGAATATCAACCATCAACACTTAACAACCAAAGAACTTTTAACATTAATAACTATACCTAGATTATCCAATAATTCAATGAATTATTTGAAATTTTCTAATCATTTCCGTAAATTAAAAATTTATACAATGAAAGTGTTAAATTATAAACAACCACAACGATAAGGGCAATAATCTCGAAAATTATATTTCGCTTTAGAATATGTACTTCATTTCAACAAGTGAAAACACAATCTGTCTGTTAAATAAATTTTAAACTACACGAGCATTATATTACCACGAAAGAAATTGTACAAAAATAAATGACTTGGCACTTTAAACACTTACGATTTAATATTAAATTTAAAGAAAATGTTGACATCTCGATGACAAGCAATTTTTAATTTCGTGTTTCGATCGTTACTAATGGTTTACGCAAAAGTGAGTTTGCATATAAAGGAGTAAGAGTAAGTGACTGATATTGTAAGTTGTTATACGTAGCAAAAACTGTAGTCCTAAGTGTCCTGCAAATCCTAGGCGTTTCACAGCTAGATAGATAGATAGATAGATAGATAGATAGATAGATAGATAGATAGATAGATAGATAGATAGATAGATAGATAGATAGATAGATAGATAGATAGATAGATAGATAGATAGATAGATAGATAGATAGATAGATAGATAGATAGATAGATAGATAGATAGATAGATAGATAGCAGATAGATAGATAGATAGATAGATAGATAGATAGATAGATAGATAGATAGATAGATAGATAGATAGATAGATAGAGATAGATAGATAGATAGATAGATAGATAGATAGATAGATAGATAGATAGATAGATAGATAGATAGATAGATAGATAGATAGATAGATAGATAGATAGATAGATAGATAGATAGATAGATAGATAGATAGATAGATAGATAGATAGATAGATAGATAGATAGATAGATAGATAGATAGATAGATAGATAGATAGATAGATAGATAGATAGATAGATAGATAGATAGATAGATAGATAGATAGATAGATAGATAGATAGATAGATAGATAGATAGATAGAGAGATAGATAGATAGATAGATAGATAGATAGATAGATAGATAGATAGATAGATAGATAGATAGATAGATAGATAGATAGATAGATAGATAGATAGATAGATAGATAGATAGATAGATAGATAGATAGATAGATAGATAGATAGATAGATAGATAGATAGATAGATAGATAGATAGATAGATAGATAGATAGATAGATAGATAGATAGATAGATAGATAGATAGATAGATAGATAGATAGATAGATAGATAGATAGATAGATAGATAGATAGATAGATAGATAGATAGATAGATAGATAGATAGATAGATAGATAGATAGATAGATAGATAGATAGATAGATAGATAGATAGATAGATAGATAGATAGATAGATAGATAGATAGATAGATAGATAGATAGATAGATAGATAGATAGATAGATAGATAGATAGATAGATAGATAGATAGATAGATAGATAGATAGATAGATAGATAGATAGATAGATAGATAGATAGATAGATAGATAGATAGATAGATAGATAGATAGATAGATAGATAGATAGATAGATAGATAGATAGATAGATAGATAGATAGATAGATAGATAGATAGATAGATAGATAGATAGATAGATAGATAGATAGATAGATAGATAGATAGATAGATAGATAGATAGATAGATAGATAGATAGATAGATAGATAGATAGATAGATAGATAGATAGATAGATAGATAGATAGATAGATAGATAGATAGATAGATAGATAGATAGATAGATAGATAGATAGATAGATAGATAGATAGATAGATAGATAGATAGATAGATAGATAGATAGATAGATAGATAGATAGATAGATAGAGATAGATAGATAGATAGATAGAGAGATAGATAGATAGATAGATAGATAGATAGATAGATAGATAGATAGATAGATAGATAGATAGATAGATAGATAGATAGATAGATAGATAGATAGATAGATAGATAGATAGATAGATAGATAGAGAGATAGATAGATAGATAGATAGATAGATAGATAGATAGATAGATAGATAGATAGATAGATAGATAGATAGATAGATAGATAGATAAGATAGAGATAGATAGATAGATAGATAGATAGATAGATAGATAGATAGATAGATAGATGAGATAGATAGATAGATAGATAGATAGATAGATAGATAGATAGATAGATAGATAGATAGATAGATAGATAGATAGATAGATAGATAGATAGATAGATAGATAGATAGATAGATAGATAGATAGAGATAGATAGATAGATAGATGATAGATAGATAGATAGAGAGATAGATAGATAGATAGATAGATAGATAGATAGATAGATAGATAGATAGATAGATAGATAGATAGATAGATAGATAGATAGATAGATAGATAGATAGATAGATAGATAGATAGATAGATAGATAGATAGATAGATAGATAGATAGATAGATAGATAGATAGATAGATAGATAGATAGATAGATAGATAGATAGATAGTAGATAGATAGATAGATAGATAGATAGATAGATAGATAGATAGATAGATAGATAGATAGATAGATAGATAGATAGATAGATAGATAGATAGTAGATAGATAGATAGATAGATAGATAGATAGATAGATAGATAGATAGATAGATAGATAGATAGATAGATAGAGATAGATAGATAGATAGAGATAGATAGATAGATAGATAGATAGATAGATAGATAGATAGATAGATAGATAGATAGATAGATAGATAGATAGATAGATAGATAGATAGATAGATAGATAGATAGATAGATAGATAGATAGATAGATAGATAGATAGATAGATAGATAGATAGATAGATAGATAGATAGATAGATAGTAGATAGATAGATAGATAGATAGATAGATAGATAGATAGATAGATAGATAGATAGATAGATAGATAGATAGATAGATAGATAGATAGATAAGATAGATAGATAGATAGATAGATAGATAGATAGATAGATAGATAGATAGATAGATAGATAGATAGATAGATAGATAGATAGATAGATAGATAGATAGATAGATAGATAGATAGATAGATAGATAGATAGATAGATAGATAGATAGATAGATAGATAGATAGATAGATAGATAGATAGATAGATAGAGATAGATAGATAGATAGATAGATAGATAGATAGATAGATAGAAGATAGATAGATAGATAGATAGATAGATAGATAGATAGATAGATAGATAGATAGATAGATAGAT